AAAAAACTTCTAATCGCAAGAAAAGATTGGGCTACAGCGAAAGATAAAGATACTACGGGATGACCGAATTTCACTAACTGTATGGATGGGTAGATGGTCTTGAAAAGTTAACTCTAACAAGAGTTTAGTGATGTTAATAAATAACTACGACAATTCATATCACCATACGACATGCGGAGTTGTGTTACTTAAAGTAACAGACTGTGAAGTTCTAGGAGTTTCAATAAGCAGTGACCTCAAAACTACGAGTAACTGAAAGGCTACCGCTGTCAAAGTCTTATTAGTCATGTGAGCTATCCGTAAGTATTCTGAAATTACTTAGCAGTGTATGTCATCTTTTCCAGTTTATACACCCACACTCTGAACACTGTGACCACTGAAGAACCCGATGACTTTGGTCTGCTACATAAGCTTGATTGAGGTGAACCCACAGGACCTGATGAAATGAACACCAAGTTACTGGAGAAATTGTCGAATTTTGTTGTTTTAATCTAACTGTAATGCATGTTAGATTACCGAAATATTGGAACGCCATAGTAATTCTTATCTTTAAAACAGGTACGAGACATGAACCTGAATATTGTCGACCAGTAAGCCTAACCAGCGTGGTTGTGGTTAGATGAAAAACCGGGCTTTTTCTGAAAAGCGACATGGCTTTAGACCGGGCTATTCCTGTCTCACTAACTTATTAGTAACCTATGAAAGTTGGTGCGCTCTTAAAGATCAAAAGTTATCTACATCGTTCAGTCAGGCTTTCGACAACGTTGCTCACAACTGGCTATTATATAAATTAATTAACACCGGGATTGAAAGCAATTTATCTATGTGAAATAAGGACTTAATTAGGCACCAAAAAAGAGTATGGGTGAACACGAAGTTGTCTATCTGGAAAATAGGGCTCGGCAGAATGCCTCGGAGTACAGTTTTGAGGCCAGCGTTGTTCCTGCAGTAGGTAAATGACTTTCCTAGTCCCCTATCATCATCCATTTTATTATATGCTGACGTTTTCAGGATATGTAGGATGAATAAAAGTAAAAGTTATAGTTTACTGCTTCAAAATGAAATGGAGAAATCATCTGAATGGTCTAAAATTTGATAATTGCCGACATATACTTCCAAGTGCATTTCTGTGCATATTGGTCACTATTGTGCAGATATATACACGATGAATAACACTAAGCAACCTGTTGTCCAGAAGCACACCGACTAAAGAGTCATCGGTAGCCAAAATATAAAGGCTACTGCGCACTTCCGTGCCATGGAGGCTGAAATTTTTAGATAACTGTAGTCAATACCTTGGGCCTCTAGCAATGTCGATGCTAAAACCTTTTTGAGTGTTTATACAGTATTCTTCCGTCCTAAATTCGAGTATTGCATTCAAGCGGCTAGCCCCTGCCTAAAACGAAACGGTGAGACGGTGAAAAACGTTCAAAGGACTGTAATCAAGCTGATTTTCAGAGTGGCAAAGCTGTCGTACGATTCTCGACAGGCTAAAGTTAACCTATTTCCATTGTCATATCAAAGAACCAGAGGTGACTTGATCACGGTTTTTAAATTACGCAACAACAAATTTGCACATGATATGCCTCCGCTTTCTTTGCCCTCGAGAACAGAGAATATACGAGGAAACTCTAAAAATGTTTACAAGCCCAGAGTAAATTATTTGTCAACTGACCATCTACTTTCCCATCTAATCATCAACGAATAGAATTCATTAGCTCAACACACAATTGAAGCTACTTCAGTCAATGCTTTTGAAAAAAGTTGAACCAACTGATAGAACACTATAGTCAGTCTCCTATCCTTTCCGAAACTAAAACTAAAAGTGGTCAAAATACTGGATTACCGTGGTCTAATGATGATTTTCTTATTAATAAGCTTTATATTTTCATTTTAATGTAAGGATGATTATGTGGAAGCTAATTCTAGGGAAGTCCGAAAACTTAGATCAAATCATTAGCGTTTAGGGTTTTGTTTCTCGTAGTGAGCAGTGAATTACTGGAATTCCCCACAAGAGCACGTCATGTTAGATTTCAGATTCAGATTTGTGTAGTAAGGACAGAAGGCCTACGGCCTATGTTTTCTAGTATGCTTCTGTGAGTATCCAGTCTTCTCTTGAAAGAGTCAATTGAAGGTGCGGACACCACTGCTTCAGGCAGCAGGTCCCAAGTATTATGACTCGTTGTGAAAACCTGTATGCCACGGGTATTTTGTTCGTTCTTGGCTTTTCTACTAGCCTGCTATGTTCTCTGAGGTGTCCCGATCTAGTGGGAAGAAAGAGAGAGAATAAGTTAGGTCCGAAATCATTTCTCAGTATTCCGTACATCAAAACTAGATCTCCCCTTAGTTTGCGATAGAACAGAGTAAAGAGGTCCAGCTTTTCAAGCCGCTCTTTGTATGAAAAACCCCGGAGTTCCGGAATTGCACGAGTAGCTGCCCTCTGTACTTTTTCTAGTATGTCTGAGTCATCTTTTAAACAGGGCCTTGCAGCCTGAACGCAGTTCTCTAGCTTAGTTCGCACTGAGGATGTGTATACTGTGGTGAACATGGTAGTATCTGGCTTAGTGAATGTCCTTTTTAAAGCCCAGAGGGTTCGAAATCTCTTAACTGCGACCTCCCGGCAATAGGCCGTTGTCTTAAGATCATTACTCACTGTCACCCCTAGATCCTTATGAGACCGGACTACTGGTAATGATACATCCCCTATGTTGTACGTATTAACCTTTGAATCCTCCAAGTTTATGTAGACACACTTTTCTGAGTTGATAGGCATCAGCCACTCCTTAGACCAGTTTATCATATTATTTAAGTCTGTCTGAAGAGTAAATGCGTCTTTGTTTCCAGGAACTACTCGCCAAATTTTTACATCATCAGCGTATAATAACATTGGAGACTGTACTATACTTGTAAGATCAATAACGTACATCATAAAAAGTGAAGGACGTAGGACGGAACCTCGAGGTACCCCACTAGTACTGGTCTCCAGATGGAGCACTTGGAATTCATTCAAACTTTCTGTCTACGACCTACTAGGAAATCCTTAATCCATTTTAAAAGAGATCTGGCAATACCAAGGTTCTCCAACTTTAATAGCAGTCTATTAGTTGGCACTTTGTCAAAAGCCTTACTGAAGTCTATGTAGACAACATCCACTGAGTTTCCGTTGTCTGGCGCATTAATCCAGAACTCCCTTGCTATAAAGAGGTTCGTTGTACAGGATAGACCCTCTCTAAAACCATGTTGTGCCATGTTCAGCAAGTTATTGGTTTCCATAAATGCCGTTATGGTCCGTTTGATTATTCTTTCCAGTATTTTAATTACAACACTGGTGAGGCTTACGGGTCTGTAATTTGATGGAACTTGTCGTAGACCAGTTTTATGTATGGGAGTGACGATTGCGTCCTTCCACACCATAGGTAACACACCTTGGTCAAGTGACATATTGAATATCACAGTCAGTGGGGCCGCGATATATTGGGCAATATGTCTCAAGATTTTTGGGTGTAGTTCATCTGGTCCTGTTGACTTCTCCATGTTTAGGGTGCTAAGAGCCTTAAGCACATCGTTTTGGTCGAAGTCCACGGTGAGCAGCTGGTTTGTTGACTCTGTATTCGGGTCTGGTTCTTTCTCTAGAGGAGGTTCCTGAGTGAAAACTGCCCCAAAGTAGTCAGCCATAGCCTCTACTTTTTCCTGATCTTCCTCTATCATTTCAGATTCACTTCCTACTTTAATTAGGTTGGGAATCCAATGATACATCCTTGTTCTGTAGTTAATGTACGAGAATATTCTCTTGGGCTGCTTGAGTGCAGATTGTGCCAGCTGCATTTCATATTTTCTTTGAGCTTCCCGAATTTTAGTTATACACTCGTTTCTTATCGATCTGTAGCGTTCCATCGTACCTGCTGTGCCAAGGCGGATGGCAACATCCCAGCATTTCTTCTTTTGTCTTAGTAAGCGTCGAATATCCCACCCTATCCAGGGATGTCCGTGTTTTTTTCTTTGGGACAGTCCAGGGTATGTATGGTTGAGTTGCCCGATTGTATAACTGCCTGAATAGAGTCCATGCCTCTTGTACTGATGGCTTTGAGTCGATTTCCCAGTTCTCAGCCGATGCTGCGGAGTTAATTGCCTGCATATCTGCTTTCCATATGTTAGGACGGACCGGCGCAACTGTTTGACAGGCAATCTCAGCCATGAATTTGAATAAGACGACTACATGGTCACTTTTCCCAAGTGGTGGGAGAAAAGCCATTTGTCCAACGTCATCACCGTGTGTGAAGACTAAATCTAAAAGAGAGGAAGAGTTTCCTAAGTCGTATCTTGTGGGATCTCTAATGTGTTGGAATAATGCTAGTCCAATCGAGGATTCTAACAGTTTGGAGTCGAACGACGATATGGATGACCCTACTTTCAAGTTAACCCAGTTTATATATGGTGCATTAAAGTCACCTACTACAAGACTTTTGCAGTTGTTACACCAGGACCTAAGTTTACTTAGGATAAAATCATCTGCTACAGATTCTGGACTGCGATATACTACAACTACTTCAATATCTTGCCTTCGGCATTTCAACTTACATCTCACCAGTTCACATGTCCCTGAAACATGTGCTACTGTCTCAGCTAATCTTATGGTTAGGGTACTTTTCATGTACAGGATAACCCCGCCTCCCCTTCGGTTTAATCTATCAGCCCTACTGGTACTTTCAGATTAAATAGACCAAGAATGATTTTTAGTGCAATAAGTACCCAAAGCAAGTATAATCACAACAAGTACAAAAATCACTGCCCTTTTTGAAACGAACACTAGTTGATACATTTACTTCGAATCTGAATTTCCAGATTACAACAGATTGCAAGGACTGATGGTGGTTAATTTATCTGGATGGTAAATCACAAAAACTAACAGTTTGTTACCCTCCTCATTACCAAGCAAGTTTTTGTCTGAAATTGAACTTTGTCCTGTGGAGGTTACTTTGATTTACTTCATTACACAGCAAATGCCAGATTATTTGGGTTCTGACCAACGTAAAACGAAAGATCAGAAAGATGATGAAAAACCTATTAAGGGTAAGAAGCAAAGCCACTTCTAATTTTCGTTTTAGCTCTTGATGAAGGCGATATAGCCTTGTTGAAAACATACGTAAGTTTCCCTCAAGGATCCTATCTTTTCATTGCTTAGAGTTCGGCTGCATACAGCAAAGAAATAAAACAATGTGAGGAAGATATACAGACTTACATGAAACGAGTAAATGAGCTGACAGGTTTGTTCTGTTATCCCTATGTTCTCTTGTAGGTCTAAAAGAGTCGGACACCGGCTTAGCTCCTCCTGCCCTTTGGGATTTAGCTGCTGACAAAACTTGTTTATCAAGTAGATTTTTCATTGCTATAATTTACACTTAGATGAACACCCACTGCAGGTTGCTCGGTGTACAAAGATAATAAACTCTGATACCGAGGAACCGAAGTATATCATTAACGTCAAACAGTTTGCTAAATTTGTTGTTGATCTGGCCGACTCAGTAGCTCCAACTGACATTGAAGAAGGAATGCGTGTTGGAGTCGACCGAACAAAATACCAAATTCACATTCCGCTACCTCCAAAAATCGATCCAAGCGTAACTATGATGCAGGTGGAGGACAAACCGGATGTCACGTATAGTGACGTTGGTGGGTGTAAAGAACAAATCGAGAAGTTAAGGGAAGTCGTTGAACTACCACTACTCCATGTGAGTGTCATAAAGACTTGCTTTTAATTGTTTGACGTCGTATAGAGTTGACAACTAGCCACATACGAAGTACTTATAATTCAGATCACAAACAATCGTGTGGAACAAAAACGTAGGTTTTTATTAATGTACTTAGATGATTCAAACTTATGGTGTCCTGAGCACTTCAAAGAATAAGACAACAATCAAAATCAAATAAAATTTAACCCACGTCTGATTATATTATAAAGAATTCCTCAAGATTTCAGAGTTCAATAAAGTCCTCTAATTACGTTATGATTTTTCACGGCTATTAGAAATGATTTTTAGTAGCTAGCAGACCAAAGTTGCAGAAGAACTCACTGAATTCACATATATGCCATGCGTTCTGTGTTATAAGCCTTTCTAAAGCTTTTTCAGTCTTCCCTTCCGATCGTCTCCTTGGTCAGCAATAGCAAGTAGATCGAGTATAAATTATTTGCAAGATCACAACACAAATGTTTCTTAAGTTGATGCATTACAATATTCGGATTCATATGTTGCAGGATTCCAAAGATTTCAGTCGTGTCACTGACTTGTTCGTATCAATGTTTCCATTAACTCAGTCTTTAAACAGTCTATTTAAATCCAGATAAACCAGTTTGTTTAATACCTAGATATTTCAAACGAAAGGGCCTTGTTTTCCATCATAGATTATTTAGCGTTAACGAGAGTCACACTGATTATTTGTATTTAGCGTTAGACTTGTGACTGAGTAAATAGTTTAAAAAGTTCTATTGCATATAACCAAGATCCTAACTTTCATTACTCAATACGTAGTCCACGTGCACCTTAGATTCTTTTTACTAACACTTCATACATTAAATAAGGCTAAGCCACTGTTTTAAAGAGACATTGCCAATTAAATGTGCATTTTTACAGTATCCTGACTACTGCAAAACCCCGCCTGGGGTCCCTCCGAAGCTGCTCCCATCCCAAGCCCGGATAAAGTAGGAGGGTTAGGTATGGGGTTAGCGACCCTATCCCGAAGAAAACTAACTCACTAAAAAAACGCTAACCAGGAAAAAATAATTCAACCAATCTAAAAGGTTGCTTACTCTCAACTTTTTTCTTTTTCCTGGTGATCGACTGAATAATGAAGACGTCAACATCTGGGGGGTGGAGCACGGGATACATTGAAAAAATAGGATGCAGCTGGACGATCTAGACTTCGCAGATAACCTGGCTCTTCCATCGCGCACGCGACAACAAATACAGGAGAAAACAACCAATGTAGCAGCAGTAGATCTCAACATACACAAAGGAAAAAGCAACATTCACTGATAAAACACAGCATACACCAGTGGAGTCACACTTGGAGGAGCAGCATTGGAGGGTGTGAAAACCTTTACATATATGGGCAGCATCATTGATGAACACGGTGTATCTGATGCAGATGTGAAGGCGCGGATCGGCAAAGCCAGATCAGCCTATCTATAACTGAAAAACATCTGGAACTCAAAACAACTGTTAACCAACACCAGTCAGAATTTTCAATATAAATGTCAACAGTTCTACTATATAGGGCGGAAACTTGAGGAACTACGAAAGCCATCATCCAGAAGATATAAGTGTTTACTAACAGTTGTCTGCACAAAATACTTCGAATCCGTTAGTCAGACACTATCAGCAACAACCTACTGTGGGAGAGAGCATACCAGATTCCAATGGAGGAAGACATTAGGAAGTGGATAGAGCACCCAATTGTGTCATAAGACAAGCCCTCACTTGGAATCCTCAAGGCCAAAGGTGGAGAGGAAGAATAAATAACACATTACGCAGAGAAATGTAGACAGAATTGACCAGAATGAACAACAATTGGATAGAACTAGAAAGGAAGGCCCAGGATAGAGTGGGTGGGAGATTGTTGGTCGGCGGTCTATGCTCCACTGGGAGTAACAGGTGTAAGTAAGTAAGACTACTGTAGTACATTCACCTGGTACAATGTCTGTTTACAGTAACAGTGATAATATGGAGTTCTCACGATCATCATGATCAATGGTCGTAGACCATAGGTAACATGGTTCAAAGCAAGTCCAAATGGCACAAACTTAGTTGTGCTTAGTTTCCCCCCCCCCTAGATCTTGCGATTCAGTATTATTTTCTACTTTATGTTCCCTTGTTTTATCCATTATTTTTGGACCGTTACATTTAACCGTTCACAATCATAGGTGCTACCCCTATTTCGGTGTGTCTGTTATACATTCTGTTAGTTTCATCTCTGCTTATGGGGTGGGTAGCAACTTGAAAAAATACAAGCCTCAGATTCTACATTGTTTATGATTAGGATTAATATGATATCACCTTTGTACTCGGGGTTAAAATTTCCTCTGGTTAGTTCGTCTGCAACATCATATTTTACATACAGTCCTTTCAAATTTCGCGTTTATTCACTGTTCTGTAAGTGAATAAAAAAGACGGATAGGTAGTTGGTTTATAAAATAAGACTTGAAAGATATGTCAGATTTTTGTCCTTTGGTCTTCGGGCTGCCTCTACCTAAAACCTCCATTTTCACAGCTGATTTGTTATCAAAAAATCACTTTATAAATTAATATGAACGACTGTATGTTGTAATCCTTGATATTATCGATGTTGAAGGGGACGAAGTGGAGTACAGTTTTCTCTATTAGTTTCTTTCATTTTGAACAGTTTATTTTGTAATCGTAATTCGGGTCGTTTTCTTTAGTCTTCGTGTATTTTACTTGGTATTATATCGGAGCGATGATTCTAAACTGAAAACCAAGCTTTTTTTAGAAGACCTCAACAGTACGTTTACTATCTCTGATATCTCATTCACATACTTGAAGATAACCCAGTTTCTAGTTTTCACATCTAATTTTGGACTTAATAATAATTGAGCGTAGTTTTTCAACGTAAAATTTGTTCAGATTTTTGTTTTCCATTTATAATATGTAGCCACATTATTGTCTTCATTTGTTAGGGAAGAGTTGTACTCACCTGATCTTGAGAATCTGATTGTTCCTATTATGAAGCTTTGGTCTTCCATGTGTGGACTTCAGACGCACGAGTCTGCAGTTTATTATATTCGTTCTAATCACCAGTGCGTTCAGTAATATTTTTCCTTTGGAATTCTTTTCGATTGTGGATTTCATTCCATCAAAAACCTTGTTAGTTGAATTGTACCCAATTCCTTACTCATGTTTTTAAGAATAATGAATAAGTCGTCCATGAAGCGAATCCATATTTTGAGCTTCGTCATTAGCAATACTGAAGCATTCAATCACTGTATTACTACTTTTGTATTAAGCCCGGGTAACGGTGATCTTGATGGTGCTACATGTGTCTGTTTGCACATTTCATTTTCTAATTGTAAGTCGCTATACTCAAGCTGATGAGATTACCTACACTTTGACTTCTAAACTTTGACATTCGAAAGATTTGTATCACTACACATTTAAGTCTGCCACTTCCACTTGACAAAACGCCTCCGAAAGGGGATCTTCGATCAAACTTGTCCTGAGCTCCACTTTCCAGCTGTTGTCATGTGGTGTTCATGGTCTTGAATTTTTCCTTCAAGTTACGGCGCTATCTATTCTTTGATATGCCTCTTTTCCTTTTTCCTTGTGATACAGTTTGAATGGTTTCGTAAAGTATGTGCTATTCACCATCTTTCCCGAGTAGATTGTCGTCATTAGATCTTGAGCGGACAGCTGTTTATAAATACTTGTACTTTTTTGTTGTTGCTGGTGGTAGTATCCCAAGTACCAGCTCGTACGGTAGGACTGTCTCAACGTTAGTGTTGGAAATTCTGACTTAGGTCTCGGTCAAACTCTCTCCTAAATTCCAGATATTATTCAATTGTAAGCATGCTGCTTTGTCAGTTCGTTCATTGAGCATACTGCCCGGGTACGTGAATGCTGTCTTTTCTTCCAGGGCTTCATCATCAAATGTAATTTCCTCGATGTTCATCATTGTATTTCAGAATCTTATTTTTCCCCTTATGAGTGTTGGGGTATATTTCTGCGTAGACCGCTGCTACACTAACTGTCTTTGTCTGCATCTCTGCATGGATTCAAAAAGCTCGTTTGGCTTTAGCCAACTTCGCTTATGGCGAAGGCAAGATATGCTCATATCAATTAAGGGACAAGTCTACTGTACAGCAGTTCATTCTGTCCTATTTTACGGCTGCGAAACGTGACCATTAAGGGTAGAAGATACTCGTAAGTTACTAATATTTGATCACAGATGCCTTAGAAATGTTGCTCGCGTCTACTGGGATCACCATGTAAGTATTAGTGAGATTAGATGTAGGGTATTAGGGAATGATGGTAAATCAGTCGATGAAGGGCCACGTGTTACGTATGCCTAAACACCGATTACCACGACGTGCAATGCTGACTAGTGTTGGAGATGGTTGGAAAAAAGTTAGGGGCGGCCAAACCAAAACGTGGTATCAGTCCATTAGGTCACTAACTTCTGGTCTGAGCCATGTTGGTAGATGCAAACTACTTGGTTGGGGTCCGTGTGACTATCGTAATCAATGGTTGGAGACTCTTGGTGACATGCCTCAGAATCGATCACAATGGCGTCGGTGTATTCACCCTCTGTCTTCTCTTAGACTATGAGATTAAAATTGCTTCATATCTTTCTTTCTACGAACTAATTCTTTCTTCCTGTATTATATCCTTATAAGCAATCTTTTATATATTACCACCATCGAATTAACTACTTCTATAAATTCGGTGTTCATCGTGTTGTGCTAATGAGGTATAGCAACTTGGACAATTGCACATATGTACATGTTCTTACGTTGTAGCTGACTGATTTGACTACATTTGTCGCTGTGCTTTGGTAGAAGTAAATCATCTGGTAAGTCTGAGGTATTCTCTATCTTCCGTGCTTTTCCTGCTTAAGCGCGAGCTGACAAAAAGTCTACGCAATGATCATGAACAGTGTGGGTAGCGAAAGCAAGAGAGATGGAAAAGGCAGCAGCAATAGGTAATAGCAGACAATTGTTCAGGCTTGTTAAGGAAACCGGTATTAGGAAACTGACTGTTAGCGAAACACTCTCAGAGAAAGATGGACATATTATACATTCTCAATCCAGGAGATTGGATCGATGGGCAGAACACTTTAGGGATCAGTTCAACTGGCCTTCAGCCACACTTTGGTTTCCCACGATCTCTAGTCTACCTGAATGGCAAGTTAATGTAAGTCCTCCGTCCCTTTACGAAGTTGAAAAAGCCATAGGAAATCTGAAGCGTGGGAGAGCAGCAGGCCCTGACAGGTTTACTCCTGAGATTTTTAAGGATGGTGGTTCAGTATTAGCAGTGAGATTAACTGAGGTCTTAGGTAGAATTTGGGAACTGGACGTAATCCCATCTGACTGGTCTCAATCACTGATTGTACCAGTCTATAAGAAAGGACAAAAGTCCTCTTGTGACAATCACAGAGGAATCAGTTTGACAAATATAGTGTCTAAAATATTAGCTTCAATAATACTTCGACGCCTAACCAAAGCTCGTGAAGAGCAGACTAGAGAAAATCAGGCTGGTTTTCGACCTGGACGTGGTTGTATAGACCAGATATTCACGTCAGGTCCTAGAACATAGACACACACGCAGACGCCCCACAATGGTAGTATTTCTCGACCTTAAGGCGGCATTCGACTCTGTTGATCGTAAGGTTCTATGGCAATGTTTGTCACTGAAAGGAGTACCAAAGAAGTACATTAACCTTGTAAAGACTCTCTACTCGAACACAACTGGTAGAGTGAGAGCTTATGGCGAACTGTCATCAGAATTGATTACCTCAAGTGGTGTTCGTCAGGGCTGTCCACTCTCCCCATTCTTGTTCAACTTTGTGGTCGACGTACTTTTAGAGATAACATTTTCCTCGTCTAAATTTCCAGGGGTTGAACTTCTACCGGGAGGTTCACTTGTTGACTTAGAATATGCTGATGACATAGTTTTATTTGGCGAAGACGCTGACAAAATGCAGAGTCTTCTGACCACTCTAAGCAACAATGCAAGCGTGTTCGTGATGCGATTCTCCCCCTCGAAATGCAAAATGTTGCTTCAGGATTGGGTTGCATTGACACCCGAACTAATGATAGGGAGTAAAGTAATTGAGCGTGTCGATCCCTTCACTTATCTCGGAAGTCTCATCATCCCTTGTGGTCTGGTGTATGACGAAATCTCAGCACGGATACAGGAGGCTTGACTAGCTTTAACCAATTTGCGTCATTTATGGCGTAAGCGAGATATCCGTCTATCAACCAAAGGACGTGTTTACTGCGCAGCAGTTCGTTCCGTCCTAATTTATGGCAGTGAAACATGGCCGGTAAGAGTAGAGGATATTCGTAGGTTACTAGTATTTGATCATAGGTGTCTTCGAAATATTGCTCGTATATCCTGGGACCATCGAGTAAGTAATGCAGTTGTTAGGGATCGGGTACTAGGTAAGGATGGCAAATCAACTGATGACGCAGTGAAACTTCATCAGTTGAGATGGCTGGGACATGTGTTACGTATGCCAACCACCGACTGCCTCGACGTGCTATGTTCAGTGGTATAGGAGTAGGTTGGAAGAAAGCTAGAGGCGGCCAGACCAAAACATGGCACAAGTCCATGAAGTCACCGACAAGTGGACTGAGTCATATTGGTAGGTGTAGACTACCTGGTTGGGGACTGCAAGATGATAGCAACCGATGGTTAGAGACCCTGAATGACATGGCTCAAAATCGTTTGTAATGGCGCAGGTGCATACACTCTTTGTGTTCTTTCAAATTCTAATCTCCTTATTCCTCCTTGTCCCTTTTTTCCTCTTTCCAAGTTTATTTCACTGGATTATACTCTTTAAATAACATCTTCAAACACTAATCTTCCCGACTACTGCTTATACTCTTATTACCTCTACCACTACGGGATTTGGATCGACCACTACATCTGTGTGCTAATATGGTGTGGCAACTCGGACTGATGTACGTACGTACGAAGTTCTACGTTGTTACTGACTGACTGACGTGCTTTTCCTGATGTATGCAGGTTCTCTTAGTTCAGTCAACGATTACAAGGGAGAAAAGAGGTGAGAATGAACAATTTTTTTGATAACACTCTTCACTTAAGATAGATCCGTAAGCTAACCCTTCACGCACAACTTTGCAACTCTGTCCCCCATAAAAGTTTAATATGGTGATGACGATCTTTTCAGATATTTTGTAGTGTGGGAGATTGCATATGACTTTCCTATCCATGCTATCAGGTGCTTTCTCGTAATTCATGAAGTTAGTGTCTAGTGATGAGTACCACTTAATTGACTGTTCAGCAATGATCTGCAGTGTCACTACTTGATCAGTACATGATCTGTCCTTACGAAGATCAACCTGTCAATCTCAAGGTTGCACGTCTACTGAATCACTCATCCGGTCCTGCAATACTTTGTTAAAAACTTCGCCTGGCGCCGATAGCAGTGTAATCCCTTCATAGTTCTGACATTTACTAAGATTTCCTATTTTTCGTATCTTTGATGAGGTATTTTTCTTACTACTCTGTTGGTACTCGTTCTTCCTCCCAAATTTTTATGAAAAGAATATCGATCATTTTTGCAGTTGTCTGACTTCGTTGTCTCGACTGGTATGCCATCTGGTCCTGCTGCTGTTTTTTCCATTCTTGGTTTGTCTGATGACTTTGCTGAACACTACTTCTATGCCTGGTGGGCTATGTAGCGCTGACCGATTCAAGAGCACTTCGAAATGTTCTATTCCGCTGCTCCTGAACCTCTGATTGATTTGCCTTCTTTGTTCTGGTTTAATGTATTTAGCTTCTGGCCTCTGTGTTATGTCTTATAGTTCTCTCATTTATCCCTTGCAGCTTCTTCTGGTGTCGTTGCTCCGTCTTCTACATATTTTCGCTCTTCAGCTATAATACCCTTCACTCCTTTGTTTTTTTCTGTACACACAGCATGTATTTTTGCTTTATTTGCTTATATTTTACTATTGTCGGCTTCCGTTTTCCATTTTCTGGGTCTTGCCGAGAGCATCTACGGAGATCTACTGTTTATTCTGATGCTTCTACGAGCCTAGCATCTGGTATGCTGCTAACCTTTTTTGCAGAGGTTTATTTTTTGTTAGGTGAGGGTTTACTAACCTTACACTCAACTCTTCTTTATCTGGGATCTGGACTAGCAATATATTATCAACTTCGTTTCGATTAGCTGTACTAAAGTTGTTATTTTGAAAGTCCGTCAAAGATACAGTATCAAATCATCCTATTCGAGAAACACAACTTCATGGAAGTAATCGTTTTAAGCCGTAAATCTTCAATATCTTAAGACATTGATTTAGTGATATCACTTTAATTTGTTTCCTGAATCTTTCAATAAACATTCATTCTCTTGAATCAGTCTGATATTTGGCCAAGGTTAGAGCCTGATGCAAATGTGCGTCAAACCAAGTTCTCATAAATGGTAAAGGCGTAAAAATGTATTAGCTTTGATAGTAATAAAGAAGAAACATTGAAAATGTAGTTTTTAAAAAGTAAAATGGTGTGTTTGATTGGATACTAGGATTTAAGATCTAGAGGAGGATAAAAAATGAGTGAAGTTGTGGTATTGTGAGCGATTCTAAACCATGTCACCTTAAGTCTTTAGATATTTATTGCGGATCTCAAACAGGTAGTATGCACCTACCTACATGGTTTAAATCAATAGTCAATGATTTCATGGACTGATGCCGCATTTGGTTTATCTTCTTACCTCGAATCCGAGTTCGCTAAAGCTTTTCAGCTAATTTTTTTCCGTATCGATTGAGACAGTGATACGAAACTTACTCAGATGAAATTACAGCCGACAGTCAAGGCCTTATTTATCTAAAACCGACAGTCTTCCATTATTCCAGTGTTAGAATGCAATCGTGATTCATTTTTATCCAATGTATCGGTTACTATGAAGTAAAGTATTGTCCATATTGTATATACTTTTAGTAGCTAGACTAAAGAGATTAATGTAACTTCACCAATCCAGTTGGTAAGTCGGGTCGAAATTCTTTCCGTTAAAGCAACCCCTGAAGTAAATCTATGGGCACAATCCAAACAAATTTTCAGTTTGACGAACGTTCTACCAGCAGAGACTGCTCAACGATATTTTTTCATCTAACCAATCAATGAGCCTTCAAATCAGAAGTTTCTAATACCTACCATTCCCGATATTATACAGGATATATTTGGCAAATATAATTAGGCCTGTTCGGTTAGCTTTTAAATCTAATTTCCAATATGCAACTTTTAATATGGCTTAATGTTATAATAGGTATTGATTGTGGAAATACTGAAATAAGCTCTGGATAATAAACCATTGGATAAATTACTGAAAGGTCAAATAGTTACTCATATAGTCAAGCTACAAGTCAAGGTCGAGTGAATATCGAACTACCATGTGATTGACCTGACTTAAAATATCAGTCAACAAAGCTTAGTTCATCCATAAGTAGAAATTCGTCCAATAAAACGTAAATGTAATGGATGTAACAGAGTTCACGTATTTTATTGAAGATAAAAGTAAAGGCTAATTATGTTATAGGTAGGTATCGTCATGCCATTTGTTTGTTTAAGAGTAATCTTAACATGTTTTAGTAACTAATTAGCGTATATATCTCTTTTCAAGTTCATTATTCAATGAATAGTTTTTAAGACCTTTATTTTACTATGACGATTTTTTATTTATTTTCATCCACTTGGTACTCGTGTTGTCTTCTTTTTTCTTCCTTATTAAAAGTCAGTCATAAGTATATTTAATTGTAGGTTTTATTTTTTCTTTTCCGTTGGTTAGCCTGAAAAATTTGTCAATCTTGGCATCGAACCTCCTAAAGGTGTATTACTTTTTGGACCTCCTGGGACAGGTAAAACATTGTGTGCTCGAGCAGTTGCTAACCGTACCGATGCCTGTTTTATTCGCGTCATTGGATCTGAATTAGTTCAGAAGTATGTAGGTGAAGGTGCGCGCATGGTTAGAGAATTGTTCGAGTTGGCTAGATCAAAAAAAGCATGTATCATATTTTTCGATGAAATAGACGCTGTTGGCGGTGCTCGTTTCGATGATGGACTGGGAGGTGAAAATGAGGTTCAGAGAACTATGCTTGAACTAATTAATCAGTTAGATGGTTTTGATCCAAGAGGCAACATAAAAGTAAGTCCTACTACTCCATTTGTTTCTGAGTTTTAAGCATGTTAAATATTTGTAGGAAACCCTCAATTTTTATAAAGTAATGACTACGACATACATTACGTTTACAGTATTTTGCGTTAATAAACCACAGTATCTTATGAAGACAACCTTTTTAAATTCATCTAACTAGTTTTCTTTAGATAATTCGTACTTGGACATGTTTCGCCATCACAAAGCATGATCAATGGTTTCCGTTCCGGAAAATCACATTTTTTTTTCACTTCTTGACTTCGTAGATCGTGTTAATAAATTCGCGTCAAACCAATAAATAATTTATTTTTCAGAAAGTTGATTGGTTTGGTTATTTATTCGATAGGTGCTAGGTAAATCTTTACATTATCAGAACTGATTACATTTAACAGTTATAATTATAGCATGAATTTTTCCTGTGGACTTATATACGTTGAAATAAAGCGGTCATATTTTTTCTTAGTAATCAGGGTATGAGAATTTTACTACTCTTTAATATTACATTCATGTAATGACTTCTGATATTTACTAGCCACACTTAATGTATTTTTAAGCTGCTTACATGTGATTTGTACTTATGGACAACCTCATATTAAACTGGCATCTCGTATTAAATGTACTGGTCCTTCACACAGAAAAGTCTAATTGTGTAGAGCTCTCATTTAGAGATATTTTCACGTTTATTTATGTCTCGTTTATCTTTTGTGCTCAACCCTATGTTTTTGTTTTAGGTACTCATGGCCACTAACCGACCTGATACTCTCGATCCTGCTCTTGTTAGACCTGGCCGTTTGGATCGAAAAGTTGAATTCGGTCTACCTGATCTTGAAGGTCGGACTCATATATTTAAAATACATGCCCGTTCCATGTCCGTTGAGAAAGATATTCGTTACGAGCTTCTTGCTCGTCTTTGTCCTAATAGTACTGGTAAGTTTTATGGTCTAGTTGTTGTGTTTGCGAAAAATTATTTCTCATAAACCTGGCTGAGTTTTTTCCCCATGTACTTGTTTTCTGAACATATGTTTGTAGAATAAATCGCATTCGTTTCTCGCAGTGACTACTAAATTCAATTTAGATAACAAAACTCAAAATAGCGATGCACATTAATGTGGATAATTCGATGTCTGAATGAGAATCTATCTTCTTTTTCTTGAAATTTTCGACATTTTACTTTTTCAAACATTAAGTAAGTAACTGAGTTAAATTAGCACAAATTCAATCGGTTATTTACATACTCTTTTAATAAGCAACTTAAAACGATTCACAAAATATCAGTAATTCGAATTTCTATTCATTGAGATGTCACAAGTATATATTTATTTTATCATTTACAATTTATTTGAAATTATTAAGATAAATCTCATCAATGATTGTTACAAATATCATTTAATGTGTATATTTAGTGACAAATTGTACATTTAGTTAGTGTAGCCAAAATCTTTCTATATGTTGTACTGACTGTAAAAGCAACTAAAACGATATCAATAGCATTTATATCGAGTAATGAATTTCTTTAATTAATATTGCTCAAAGTTTCATAAGTGTCAACCTATAACAAGAAGGTTGGTCATTTGTGTGTAATTATAATTTTAATTATGCACTGTATAAGTAATTTCTAATAAAAAGGAAGTAATATTTATTATATCCTGGTCCATTTAGGTCACTTAGTGCATTGAATTAATTTGTGATTTGTTTATTTATACATAAGTACTTTCTCATCTACAAACTTTATATAACGCAATTTTGCTAATTATATTTTGAGCCTCGCTTCCAACGGATTGTAAACTTACGTTTTATTGCTCATGTTATTTGAGTGCAAAGCTAAGTTCCTTACGGTGTTTTTGATTTTCCACTTCCCAGGCGCAGAGATTCGTAGCGTTTGTACTGAAGCTGGAATGTATGCTATTAGATCAAGACGGAAAATGGCTACTGAGAAAGATTTTCTAGAAGCTGTGAACAAAGTTATCAAGTCGTATGCTAAGTTCAGTGCAACTCCACGATACATGACGTACAACTAACTAATTCAGCATCATTTACTTCAAATAAATCCCACTATAAATCACGTGCTTTATATCTTGTCCTTTTAGTATTTTAAGAGAGCAACAATCATTTTTCCATTATTAGATGTTAAAATTTTTATCGAATAAGCACTTGTGGTAGATGACTTGTTATAGGCAGTTTGCCCACCGCTAATTATTCCTGTTTTATATACATAGGGTTACAAATATATATATATATATATATATATATATATATATATATATATATATATATATATATATATATATATATATATAGTCACCTGTTACCGAATAAAGTAAAACCGCATCGCAAGTCGTTCGTGACAATCGATAGGGATGTGATGTAATGACCGGATAAGCTTATTTCAATATAAAGTTGGTTTTGAGATAATTGAAGAGAATCATAAATGAATTATATGGTCACAGTTAATTAATAACTGGCAAACTTGGAAGTAATAGCAACTGATTAATATGTATCGCAACTAGGAAGGAGGTGGGATGGGACCGTGTTCGCTTTTATGCACAAAGTTTAGTCTTTAGTTCGACAGTGCATCAGTTTGAATAACATTAGAGAAACTGTAATTTGAATTTATTGTCCACATCCGACCTTATGTTGATAAGGAGTTTTTAACACAGTCCGCCTTTGAGAGGATGACAGTCGAATGTTTGGTGCTTTACCAGTCTTAGCGGGTACACAAGATCCACCTAGATCTGTTGGGAAAACCCAGTCCAGTGGTGCACATCGGCTGCAGAATCCCAAGGGAAACTACTATGCGACGGTATTTACTAATGGTTCACTGACTTATGAATTAGACCTATGGAGATTTAAAAAACCTGATGTCAGTGATTAATTGAATGCTACCATCGAATACGGATTTTGAACCAGTCTTTCTTCGAATATGTCCCACTCAAATTGGGCTTCGAAGTCCTCACTAATCCAGACTCAACAACATGAAGGTTTGTTATGTTTTTAAAAAGCCCTGAAACTGACGTTTGTCTTCTATGCTGGATTCGTACTCAAGACTAGTGATGTACTACAAACTCGCTCTATCTATTGCTTCCAAATGCTCGTTTAACTTGCGTCTATCCAGAGTCCTTGTTCAGTGTGGCCGGTTTTGGTGGCACGTGGGTTTACTCCGGGTAAACGCGAGCTCGATAACAAACGTAGATTGTTACGCAATAGAACTGTACAAAGCTTGCGTTAGGACCAATAAGCCTGGTGGTCTGAGCGTGCTAACGAGTTGGGAGCAGCAGTTGGACATGATAACTTCTCGGAGCTCTTTCAACTCATCCGATTCACTGGCAGCAAGAAGTCCGGCATGAGTGATGCAATTTATGAGGCTGATGGAACGCCGAAAATGACATTTACCGAAATTTCATACAACGATCAGAGCTCTGTGAAGAGCAGTTCAACTGGTCTACTGCCCCAGCGACATCAATCAGACTGTCCTGTCCTTAATAGTCAGTGACAACTGGTCCCCCAAACGACATGGAATCCCGCAATGAACTCCAAATCTTGAACCGCCCCAAATCACCAGGTCCAGATGATTTATCTCCGTCCCCTTTTAAAGATAACGACGACCTGATTAGGGGACTGACTAAGTTGTTTACAAATTTATGGCAATTAGTGAGTATTTCGATATTGTGGAATGATTCGATTGCTGTCTCTGTGTTTAGAAAGGGTTTACTTCACCGATGTAGCATTGTTATGACATGCAGTGTCTGGAATCAGATACTGATACACGGTATGCTATGCGCTAACCACCAACTGACTACTTGAGCATGAAAGTGTTTTAGACTACCTAATGAAGTGCGTAAGTACTCATTCATATATATACCACTCTGTCCTTAGGAAATTGACCCCAATGAAATGCACTTGACCTTCGGATCATTTCTGATTGACATTTTAATTACGCTACTTCTAAATGGCACTACATATCACCTTTCCCAACTCCGCCTGTAGCTCTTATAGGGTTGCTGCCGGTCCCAAGCCCGGGTAAAGGAGGAGGTTTGGGCATGGGGTTAGCGTCCCCATCCCGCAGAAAACTAACTCGCTAAAAAAACGCTTACCAGAAAAAATAATCCAAACCATTTTAACTCTGCCCTGGGAGTTAGAAGGTCTTCATTCAGAAGAATTATGACGCTTCATGGTGAAAGCCGAGTTTCTTCGGAAGCCACGAGGCCGATGCCCCTTCTAACAACCAGAGCAAAAAATTTTATAGGTACATGGAACGTCCGAACAATGTGGGAAACCGGGAAGACCAGTCAAATATCAATGGAAATGAGGAGATACAACTTGGCAGTACTGGGAATCAGCGAAACCCACTGGACCCAAGCTGGACAGAAAAGGCTAGCTACGGGAGAGATGCTGCTATACTCCGGTCACGAAGAGGACAATGCTCCACACACTCAGGGAGTCGCTCTTATGCTGTCCAAAGTAGCACGAAATGCACTTGTAGGATGGGAATCTCACGGATCCAGAATTATCAAAGCATCATTCAAAACAAAGAAGGAGGGGATCACAATGAATATTATCCAATGTTATGCACCCACCAATGATAGCAACGACGACATTAAAGATCAATTCTACGAGCGGCTGCAGTCAGTGATAGAGAAATGCCCAAGAAAGGACCTCACCATTCTAATGGGAGATCTAAATGCCAAAGTCGGAATAGACAACACTGGATATGAAGATATTATGGGACGACATGGACTGGGAGAAAGAAACGAAAATGGAGAAAGATTTGCAAATCTATGTGCATTCAACAAATTGGTCATAGGAGGCACAATATTTCCACACAAGCGTATACACAAGGCTACATGGATCTCACCGGACCACACTACAGAGAACCAAATAGATCATATTTGCATCAACAAAAAATTCCGAAGGACAATGGAAGATGTGAGAACCAGGAGAGGTGCTGACGTAGCTTCAGATCACCACCTAGTTGTAGCTAATTTGAAACTGAAGCTAAAAAAGAACTGGACAAGTGGACAAACAGCAATACAAAGGTTCAATACAGCCTTCCTTCGAGATACTGTCAAACTCAATGAATTCAAGATAGCTCTCAACAACAGGTTCCAAGCCTTACAAGATCTACTGAAAGAAGAAGAAACCACTATGGAGGACAACTGGAAAGGCATCAAAGAAGCATTAACTTCAACGTGTCAAGAGGTTCTCGGTCTAAAGAAACACCATCATAAGGAGTGGATCTCTATAGAAACTCTGGGCAAGATCAAAGAAAGGAAGAACAAGAGGGCAGCAATAAACAACAGCCGAACACGAGCAGAGAAAGTCCAAGCACAAGCTGAATACATAGAAGCAAACAAACAAGTGAAGAGGAGCATTGGAGCCGACAAGAAGAAATACGTGGAAGAACTAGCAACGACGGCAGAAAAAGCTGCTAGAGAAGGAAATATGAAACAGCTTTACGATACAACGAAGAAACTATCAGGGAAATACAGTAAACCAGAGAGGCCAGTCAAAGACAAAGAAGGCAAGCCGATCACCGGAATTCAACAACAGCGTAACAGATGGGTAGAATACTTCGAGGAACTCCTGAATAGGCCGGCTCCAATGAATCCAGTGGACATCGAAGCAGCACACATAGATCTTCCTATAGATGTCAATCCACCAACTACGGACGAAATTAGAATGGCCGTCAGACAAATCAAGAACGGGAAAGCAGCGGGACCCGACAACATACCAGCTGAAGCACTGAAATCAGACATCGAAGCAACCACAAGCATACTTTATCTTCTATTCGAAAAGATTTGGGAGGAGGAACAAGTGCCGATGGACTGAAAAGAGGGACACCTCGTCAAGATTCCAAAGAAAGGAGATCTGAGCAAATGTGAAAACTGCAGAGGCATAACACTACTGTCAATACCAGGGAAAGTCTTCAACAGATTGTTGCTGAACCGGATGAAGGATGCAGTAGACGCCCAACTTCGAGATCAACAAGCTGGATTCCGTAAGGATCGGTCGTGCGCAGACCAAATTGCAACACTACGGATCATCGTCGAACAATCAGTTGAGTGGAACTCGTCACTGCACATCAACTTCATTGATTATGAAAAGGCATTCGATAGTGTAGATAGGAAGACATTATGGAAACTTCTTCGACACTGCGGAATTCCTGAGAAGATTGTCAATATTATCCGGAACTCATACGACGGACTACAGTGCAAAGTAGTGCATGGAGGACAGCTGACAGATGCATTCCAAGTAAGGACCGGAGTCAGACAAGGCTGTTTACTCTCTCCCTTCCTCTTTCTTCTGGTGGTCGACTGGATTATGAAGACCTCGAAATCTGAAGGAAAATACGGAATACAATGGACAGCTCAGAATCAATTAGACGATTTGGACTTCGCAGATGACCTAGCCCTCCTATCACGTACACACGAACAGATGCAGATGAAGACAGCCAGTGTAGCAGCAGTCTCTGCATCAGTAGGCCTCAGCATACACAAAGGGAAAACTAAGGTCCTCAAATTCAAAGCGGAGAACAGCAATCCAATCACACTTGATGGCAAAACTCTGGAAGATGTAGAGTCCTTCACATACCTGGGAAGCATCATCGATGAAAAAGGAGGCTTGGATTCAGACGTAAAGGCGAGGATCGGCAAAGCAAGGGTCGCATTCCTACAATTGAAGAACATATGGAACTCAAAACAACTTTCAACCAATATCAAAGTGAGAATCTTCAATACGAACGTCAAGGCAGTTCTACTGTATGGAGCTGAAACTTAGAGAACTACAACAACCACAATCAAGAAAGTACAAGTATTTATAAATAGCTGTCTTCGCAAGATACTCAACATCCATTGGCCGGATACCATCAGCAACAGCCTTCTGTGGGAGAGAACAAACCAACTTCCAGCTGAAGAAGAAATTAGGAAAAGACAATGGAAATGGATAGGACATACATTACGCAAATCGTCAAACTGCATCACGAGGCAAGCCCTAACTTGGAATCCTGAAGGGAAGCGAAAAAGAGGAAGGCCAAAGAACACATTGCGTCGGATAATAGAAGCAGATATGAAAACGATGAATTACAACTGGACGGGGCTAGAAAGGATTGCCCAGGACAGGGTTGGATGGAGAATGCTGGTGAGCGGCCTATGCTCCTTCACGAGGAGTAACAGGCGTAAGTAAGTAAGTACGTATCACCTTTCCCTCCGGAAAAATAAATCTTATCGCTTGGATTTAACTGAAAGCGTTGAGGGAAATTTCCTCTTCATGATCTTCTTGAGGTCTGGTTATCACTTCGCCCGCGCCGATCCTGACGCTCCCAGCTGACTGTATCATTTAAATAATCTAGTTGCAGGTACGAGCTAGGAAGTTCTTCATTCGTCTGTCATGGGTGTGGTTTAAATGTCGCGCTTTAGAAAACTGATGTTCAATTCTTTTCGAATCGGGTTTATAATCTTGTCTCCCTCTTTGTAAAGTGTTCGAATCTTCCTTTCGAACGTTGATTCAGCAGGAGAGAAACCCTAAGTAAGGCTGGATTCAAGATTATCGCTGGTGATTTTCTCAGTCGTGCACTCCTCTTGTAATCATTTTTAAAATCACGTGATATGAGGGTAGGGAGATACTCGGTTACAAATAAGGTTAGATAACTGATCGAGCATTTATGGACCTGAATTACAAATAAGATTAAATGGATAATCAGACATCTTTAATTCTGTGATCCAGTCAAAACCTAATATATTGAAGGATTCATCAGTAACATAGCACGTGGATTTGATTACTAGATCATTAAATTTGAATGTACATTTGATGATTATAGAAATTTTGATTGGGATGCCCGATGCATTTTTTATACAGTCGTTAGTAGGATGAGTGCCTGGCTGACCAAGTTTCGCGAAAATCAAACTGACGACGGATGCAGTGTCCAACTGTAAAGTGATAATGCGATCATTAACATTAATGGATAAATACTTGCGTAAGCATTGTGGATTTGACAATACATGAACACAATTGATCCTTTTTTCATCTAATAATGGGATGAGAGATTGCGAAATCCCTACTTATGGTCAGTTATTCCGCACTTTGCGCGTCTCTGTTTATTGAATGGAAATTAATAAGAGAAATACCATGCGCCACAGTCCCGAAAAGCAGTGGGAAACTGTGAATTAGGATCATGAACATTATACATTCGATTTGGGCGAGGAAAATTTTGCGAACCATGCTTTCTAACATTAATCTTGCGATCTGAATGAGAATCTATTGGGATGCAAAAAGTAATCAAAATGTTGTTTGGATTATTTAACTCCTCTTTAAATGACTCAGGGAACCTAATATCTATCAGACCTACTAAATCCTTCCGGTTTCGTAGATAATCCTATAATATCTTACAAAGATTGTACTCACTTTATTGATACAATATATACAAGTAACTAGGTCGTTTCGTAATGCTGTGAATGGTTAGGTGGACTACTCTCGCTGAAAGTAACTAAGTTTCTCATTTGGACATAGATATGCCCAATCTTATGTGACAGGTATCAAGTAATGATTTTAATTTGTGAATGCACAAGAAGTAACTTTTCCATTTTTAAACTCCTCATACTACGAACCTCCACTTTTAACAATTAGAAAGACCATGAAACAACGGAGTGTACAAGTTTGGAGTTGCATACGACATTACGTACTTCTAACCCACTTGGTATAATCCATAAGTCGTTGAGAAGTCCCATTCTCTTTTTTATTTGCTACTGGGGTTTCTTATAAACTAGCGTCTCAATACTTATGGATATGGGACAAACAACTGTGATGAAATACTTCATATGAAACCAAACGAGTATTCGTGGTATCAAGTAATTGGAGCAATATTTCATCAAGAGATAACTCGCAACCTATAATCGTATCAAACATAACTTGAACAAAATACGATGCAAGGTCAATTGCTTAAGCAAAAAAATAGTTATCACTGGTTTTTCCACTAAGCTTTAAGCAAACATAAACGGATAAAATGGGGGGTACTTTTATCTTAGGATGACGATTTCGGAAGTGTAGTGCTCTCTGAGGTGGATGGTTTAGTCGCGAAACTTTCATTTTCCTTCTAGACAACATCGGCAAATACTTCGACATAATCATCTAGTTAAATGAACATAAAATAGGTGGAAATTTTGACTATTTACAGAAAAGCCGCCGTTAACATGTCCAGTTATACTACGATCAACAAACTATTAAATCCAAGTAGTTGGGGAAGTAGTTTTCACAGAATGTGAAGTAGGTTTTTCGGATAAATACTTCTTTTTTTATATCCTTACTACCTTTGCTAAAATAAAGGTGCAGCAAGACAGTATGAAGTATACATTAAAGTATGTGGATGATTATAGTTGTTAGAAAAATAGGTGTGCAAATGAATGAGTTAAAAGTTTAAACAAAAACCATGGAAGTGTTATGTATGTTTATAAAATTAAGTAAAACAATCGTAAATGAAGGTCTATCAAAAATAAATACTACCGTTGATAATAGAAACTACAAATTTTATCAGTTCAACTTATCAATTAGATTGAAAAGTTTGGTAAAATCTCTTTGGGCGCAGTCCTGTTGTTGACTGATAAAATTGGTTTTAATGAGCAATTTTGGAAGCCAATCATTTATGACTTTATGGAAACGCTCAGACGGATCTAGACTTTGTAAAAGTCGACCAATCCAGTATATAAGACGTCCACTGGCAAATAACATCCAAAGTGGATAAAAGCTTATGAAAGAATTTTTTAAATGTGAAGTATCAAATTCATCAATATTTGAGACATAAAACGGACAAAGCACCTCAATCAGTGCAACTAAATGATTTAATCCAGAGGCCATACTTTGCAATTCATTAAGTTGGTGAACATCTTCGATACAAAAGAAAGGTGAATTTCTTTGGCAATAAACTGATTTTGCTAAATCAGCACATTTATTGAAATGTGTGCAAATAGAGTTGACAAAATCTTCAAAAGTATTATTTCTACCAAGAAATTCACAATTTAAATTGATAGCGATTGCGCAACATGATAGGGCAAGTCCAACCGGTGATGTTTGAATGTTTTTAGCTTTAGATTGAGCATGAAATGAAGATCTGAACCATAGAACTAATAAAACAGCTAAACCTTGTATTTCAAGAGGTTTAAAATCTTTTACTAAATTCACATTAAAAGACTGGGAGAAAAAAGACACGAACGAAAATTCAGGTGTTTTAGCACAAGGTGGTTTAAGAGGCTTCACGGAAATTAAAGTCTTCGTCAATTGACCATTCGAACTTCTTCTGTACTCAGTGACACACTCATTCTCCATTCCACATAACTTTTCATTAGTGCCTAAGTGTTTTTCAAGGCCATATATAAGTCCATTTAAAATACTTCTCATTTTAGACATACATTCGTTAATTGAATTAGGACTCTTTATATCCTCCACTACTTGACGAGGTACAACGCCATTTCGCACATACATGTAGTCCAAAAAGCTTGGGATTAATTCCAAAGATTTAAATCGTTTAATCAATTCTTTCGGCCAATGGTGAAATATACTAACTTTATCATTATTCCGCTCAAAAATAGGTTTAGAAAATTTGAAAGGATCTTCAAAGCAGGAACCCCATGAAGTTGTGGAGTTTTGAATGTTTGACTTTTCAAGTTTGCTTGATGATGGGACACTTAATGAGACATAGTGTTTGTTTGAAAATCCTAATGCATGAGCCAGGTTTTCACCTGAAATATTCAGAAAATAATCCGAAATCCCCGAACGTATTGTCTCCTCAATATCATCCCTTTCATTTTGGCTGTAAAGTGACAGAATTAATGACAATGGTTGTTTCATATCACAGAATTGTAAGATCCAGTTAAATATAGCATGGATACGTCTTTGATAGTAGGACGTGTTCTGTAGATCAGAAGTATGGATTAGAGAATCGATGATAGCTGGAAGGCGAATATTTGATGTTATGTCATTACCAACGAGAATGGCAAAAAGTGGTAACATAGGATACTTGAGTTTATAAAAAGGTCCTGAATTATTAAGAACTTTACACGATATAAAAAAACATGGAGAACCATCAAGTTTACAAACAGAACAAGGGAGGGATCTCTGCTTACAATCGAGTAGAATAGATGAAAGTGGAATAAAACTATAGACTTGATTGTCATCGATTGGTCGATAAATCAAAAAATCAGAATCTCCACTAGTAATGGGACATTGAAGAGAAATAGCTAGCTTTGCTATACTGATATCAGCTTCACGTTCACATGCTATGTATCGAACTGAAGATTCCCGTAGAATTTCCACAAGAACATGTCTACATAGTCGTGGAGTTATATCGATTTTCAAGTCTAGGCTATCTATATTAGAAATTGAGTTAATATTACGAAGAGCTGATGAGAGTTTATTAAATTGGTCAACGTTTCGCTTCAACAAAGTATCCAATTTTGATCCCTTAGGAGAGCGGAAAAAATTCATTAGTTAACTTATAAAATGAATCATTGTATGTAAAAAACTCGAAAAATATATTGCTCAAAATTTTGTGTTCAGTTTCTTTACATTTATCACATTTGGTTGTAAATGTTTTATTATCACTCTGAGAAATATACCAATAAACGAAAGGGTAGTGATGAAATTACACCTCGAGAGGTAGTAAAAAACTTATTAGTACGTATAAAAGCTCGAATAACACTAAATAATTGTACGCTTAATAAACAAATTATCCTTGAATGAGATAGACTTCTAGATATATACATGACTGTATAAATATGTTAATTTGTAGAGGTCATTGCTCATAACTCAAGTCTCAATGTGAAACATAATGTCTTGTTGCAAAATCCTAAATACACAAAATAATTGGTCTTTTGCAGCATTAGCGAAGTGGATGGCCTATAAACAGACGAAAGCGCTTGACACGCATATTTTCTGACGTGTACATCACTTTCTGATGATTTAATTAATTAGGCAGTTAAGGTAAACAATTATAATTCCTATAATGCAGTGATTGCTTAGATCAATTATGATACTATATACAATAGTGATGAGATGTATACTACACAAAAACTTTCTATTTTAAATAAATGCCCTAAGATTTAAGTAGACTGGAAAAAATGTAGGCAGTAAGAGAAAAAAAGTACTATGATATTGAAAGCATACCTCTTTAGAATGACATCCATCAAAAACGAAGATTGGGTTCACACGACAGATACGAAACTGTTTTAGGAATAACTGGACATAAACTTTAAATGCCAAATACTCTCCACCATATTCACATCGCAAAGCAGCTTGACGATAACAGAGAGAAGCGAAGTTTTCAGCATCAATAACTAAAGGTTGGTTATGCAATTCATACGAGGAGAAGTTTTCACTGTTACTTTGAATATACGTCCACAAGCCTCGGATACCCATCTGTCCTAAAAGATGAAACGAGGTGCTACGAGTATCAGAATCTTTAACAAGAATAATAGATAGGTAAGGAAAGAAGAAAACGTTCGCATCTAAATATGTAGAAAACCTGACACCTATAAAACATAATAGTAAATAACTGGGTGGATAGAAATTTTATAAGGTGTAATAATGAATATTCATTACTAGGTAAGGGATACAATAAACCCATTTATTTGACAATCAAATAATAACATTCTATTTCTCCTAGACCAGTTTATTTTCTTCAATAACTTCGGTCGCTATTTTACTATATGCTTGGTTACTTTTACTAGAACAGATTTAGAACAACTTGGTACTAAAATGACCTGCAGCTTGCTTACAAAAAATACGAAATACAATCGATATTCCAGAAGCAACTTATAGAGATTTATGAATAAAAGGATGAGCTTGTATCTAGAGACAATGAATGATTTATCTCTATGTCTGCCTACCTAACCATTTAGCAATAGCATATGCAACTAAGTAGAGTTCACATAGAAAAATATTGAATCGTCAGAATAGCAATATATTTAAAAATATATACATATGGAGATTTTATTCATCACGCCAAACTGCATCAACAGCATCTGTACGATAGCGTTGAGAGACAACAGAGTCTTTCAGCGGAAAAGTCAAACCGGCATCAAACATTAGACATCCAGTATGTGCTATCATAGCACCATTATCAATACAAAATCGCTCATCAGTTGCGAATAATTTAGCACCACGCTCTTCAGCCATGCAGTTCATCATTTTCTGTAGACGCACGTTGCAACCAACACCACCGACAATGAGAACCTCCTGAAAAATTACAAAATGTAAAATACTCATCCCAATATAATAAGACTAATTAGTTAGTAATTAAAAGAATTTAAGATGAAAATTGTCATGCTTGTCACTATTATGTCTTAGCTGCCTTGCACGTGGTGCTGAAAATCGCAAATACGACGAAGTGTAGTGCTTGATAATGATTTATTTGACTCCCAAAATAAATCAAAATGTTATATGCATACACAATTCTTTATATGATTTACATACAGTCATACTGACAGTCAGACTTGAATAGTTTGACTGGGTATTACTTAAGAACAATAAATCAATGTCATAGCCATAAAAATAACTACAAATAGAAAACCGAATACATTGTAGTGTCAGTTACTATGTTAAGCCCATATAAGTTATTCTAGCTTCTGAACAGGCCAACTTATTCATTCTTCTCGAGTCACGGTTTGACCTTGTTAATTATCCACTTATCAACCCTGTTTTTATACGTGTACATCTTATCCTAATCATCACATGTCTGTAGCTTATATTTGTGTGACTATAAATATTGATTAACGCTTGGTTGAGTCGAGTTGGTCCACAGGGCTTCATCGCGCATCATTCCGCTTCGCTTCGTCCCTCTGATTGTCTGTCCAGATAAATGATTGCACAAAATATACGCATTCAAAAATTCATTCTGGTATTTGGTTTATTTAATTCTGTTATTCACTAACGCGGATTAAGTCGATAAATATATACGAGGCCACTAAAACGTAAACACGATACCGTGTATATTTGCCCGGTCTAACATAAACAGGATCAGATGTTAGATTGTTTTGAAAAATGTCACGGCACAACCAACATTAAATAGCCATGACGTATCTGCACCACGATGTTGAAATTTTATTTCCTATGAATAAAGATTAGTGACTTCATTTAACATCATAGTTACGTTCTAGTTAATGACTAATAATATTACTTAGCTTATCATGTTTATTTAAAGACAGAGACCGACAAATATCTTATAGACGGCAAGATTCACAAGTAAAGAGCAGAGCTGATTTCACTACAGTACCTTTTATAGATACAGCGAAACTTTGACATAGATAAGCTAAATTATCATGAGCTTTTCCTCTGGCAATCTAGTTAGTTTCAGATTGAGAATGTCACCTGTCCAACTAAAAAGACCTAGAAATAAATCTTCTGAGACGAGTATCTTGTGACATTCTACTAGTTGGAGTTCTTTCCTAAGATATCATTACGTCAATTGGGGTACGATTTACAGAATTTCCTAGAACAGGGGGTCAGTTAAACCATCGTTCAGATGGCTTCATGTAGTGCTCTAAGGATCTTTAAAAATATGCATTGAGTGCGCTATCATTTCGATATTTTTTCATTGGCACTAAGAATTTTGTTCAAGTGACTTAGACGAACAGGCGATAAGCTTCATCAACTGCCACTATGAGTCTTGACTATCAGATCAAGTATTCCTTGCAAAATTTTCGATAATTCAGGGATGAAGATTACTACAATATGTTGGATTAAATGAGCTGGGATTAACTATCATTTGTCTAAATATCACAAGAAACCTAGTGTTTACGATTACAGAGTTAGCTGAATATTTACAGAAACTTTATTTAGGTCTTGCTATTGCAGTTAGCTAACATGGAATTCAACTCGATCTTGCATAATTCGTTGGGATGTTGAATGTAGCTAATTTACTGACCAGAAATCTAAATGAGTTTACAGAACATTAAATCATGACCAAAATCCAAAAATATACATTAAAATAATATACAATCCAACAAACATACACTTCATCAATTTTCTTTCTTTATGCAACACAGTGAATAAAAAAGAGCTAAACCACATTGAATAATTCTACTTCGTTCGATGCTATAATCATTTTGTTGCTATGTACAGTTTAAATTCAACGGTAGTAAACATTGTAAAACACAATATATTTGAGATCTACAATCATAGTGACTAGGAGAATGTAAGATACGTTTTAAGCAACCATATGTAAACTAAGTCAGTTTATTTATAAGATCATGTTTATAAATTTAGTATACCTGCTTTTTAATGTCGAACTTGATATAGGTATTTGTGAGAATAACTAAGAAACTAACATAAGGTAGTATTGGGTCCATTACATGGAATCAGAAAAAAATCAGTAGATCAAACCTTCTAGCAAACAGAATTAGTTTAAAATAACTCTGTGAAATGCTTAATAGAAAACGATACATAACAGTCGAAAGAGCAGATTCTGGAAATTAACAAGAAATTGCAAATAATTTATTTAACTATATAGTGTTTCAGGAGAATTTCAACCAGGAAATGTGGAAAACGACATGCTATAGATGTTAAAGATCCCTAAGATTTATTTATTTATTTTAACACATAGATATTGGTACAATGAGGCACCAAATACATATGCGCCACACAAATCTCATTCGATATGTGTGAGGGCTGTGATACTGCCCGGGTGCCCAAACCGAAGCAGGAGATCCCTAAAAGGGAGATGGTTTGGAAACTGATTCGTTATTTCTAGATTTTCCAACCCGAAGTTAAGAGGCAACAAAACAATTCCATTTGAAATTGCTAAATATATATTTACTATATCAACTACATGACTTCTGTGACCACGTTTATGGTACGCTACGCTATGCTACTTTTTAATATTCAGTAGTTTGTGTTGTCTACAAACATAATTGGTGACCTACTGTTTTATAGGGTTGAGTTAATTTGTCGTAACTAACCATTCAACGATACTCCTCTTTCAATATTTCATTGTTTATTCTAAACAGCACTTAATGCTTTTTCATCGCCTAGTCTACCTTTTATGATGCATTCGCAGGAATTCCAGTTATTTTGAGCTATTGGATTAGTCTGGAAAGATTGTTTAATTTACCCATGCTGATTCCTGATAATCCCATTTGACACAAGTGCTGAAGCACGATGTATGTTCACTTGCTTGAAGGAACCAATTTTCGCCAAACTACAGGTTTCGTGATCAAATTAAATTAAGGACGTCACACAATTAAGGGCTGGGAAACTTCAGTGTTTATACACTTTGATAAAAGTACCGAATTTTCATAAAAATTTTACTGGTTTCAGATATGATCTATTTGTATTGTTAAGTATATGCAAAATCTAATCTTACAGAATTTTTATGAAGAATTTCGAAACAACGAGGAACTGTGCAATGTAACAAGTACTGACAAAATCATTATGAAACATACTTTTCTATTTAAAAAAGCTCATATAAATTCACACGGTAAAGTGAGATCACATGTATAACTAAAGAAATTTCAAAGCTAATTAAAATATACTGTACAACTTACAAAAATAAATCAGAATCATATATACCTTTTCCGACAAAATAAATAAATAAAATCCAAACTACTAATATAGACATTTGGCAAAGATAGTAACTGAGCGACTAACTATGGGATAACTTGTGAAACAACGAAAAATCAGTTCATTTTTTTTCTGATGGTTTATTGTTATTACAGTTTAAAACTAATCATATACATAAATTAGTTAGTAACACTTAAAATCAAATAAACTTACGTTTGCATCACAATGTGCCATAGCCCGTTCAGTAATTTCTACAACCATAGCAAAAGCTGTTTCTTGGAGACTAAAGCATAAATCAGCCACAGTGTATTCACCAGTTTCTAAAAGCTTTGGTGCACGCTCTTCCAAAAATGATAATAATCCTGCAAAAGAAACATCCATACCCTTTACTGCATATGGTAACTCGAAAAATTTGGATCCCTGTTTGGCTAGCTTCTCAATGTTATAGCCAGGACTTGGATCATTCGAAAGATTTACAATACGGGCAAACCTAAAGTGAGAAACACTCTGGGTTACGTATGGGTAACTGAAATAACTGATGCACAATAAAGAGACAATTAAGTATTTTTCTAAAAAAACATCCCAGCAATCAAATATCGACGAGGTGGACTGGGTTAGAACGAGCATGAAATCATCTTACTGAAAACGTGTTCGAGTATTAGTTCCCAAAAAAGAAAACACGCGAATTCAAAAACCAATTGTTGAATAATTGTTAGGCAATAAGTCCCATCTGTATTCAAGGAAATAAATCGTTTTTATTAACGAGTAGACATTTCAGAGCTTAAAACAGGCGAAAATTATGGCGATCGTGATAAATGGGAAAAAGATTATTATTGTTGCTATAAATAAAAAAATTATTATGATGA